ACTTTGGCAACAATAAATTCAACAATGTCCGGGTGTCAATCGGCCAACATAATCATTTGGGCGCCCCGTCGGGAGCCTCCTTGTTCTACTAAATTGGTCAATAAAGACAAATCATTAAGCCATGAGACCGCCCCGCTGGACCTACCTCCTACACCTTGGACCAGTGCCCCTTTGGGTCGCAAAGTGCTTCCATTACTGCCGACACCACCTCCTCGGGACATGATTTCCATTACTTCTTCCCGGTGGCGGGCAATTCCCTTGCGTGAGTCAGGAATATAAGGCATGACATAGCAATTAAAATAAGTAACTTTATTTTGACTGCCAGCGCCGTGGAGTATCCGACCAGCCGGCACAATTTTGAAATTTTTTATTTGTTCGTAGAAAGCGTGAAAATATTTTTCTCGCAATTTTTCTTCTTTTTCTTGATTAGCCATGGTGCGGGCCACTCGTCAGGCAATCTGCTCGTAGTATAGTTCCAGGGGTTTTTCTACAGCAAAATCGGGCTTGATTATTTGTCGCGGATGTTCTTGATAGAGCAAATCAGGGTCAATATTAGCGGCAAATTCTTCTTCAATTTCTATCACTCAGTAAGCGACATTATTCTCATTAATTTGGGTGATTAACTTGCCAATACCTCGGCTGGGGAATTTTGGGTCCGGTTTAATGACAGTCAGAACTATATCTCCTATTTGTAAAGTTTTTCGTTCTTTATCTTTTTGAGAGTAGCGGTCCAGCATAACCAAACGAGATATTCCGGACAAAGTTAAGCGAAAATCTTTTTTGATAGGGCAAAGGTGATTAAACTGGTTAGTAATCAGGTTATTAAGGCGGTCTAGGTAGGAAGCGGGATAGATATTTTTTTCTTCGTTCATAAAATAATTTTATATTGAAAAAACCGCCCAACTTTTTCCACTATTCTGGTTGTTTAGATAGAAAAATTGAGGTTTCAGAGTTAAAATTTTGTTAAAAAGAAATATATAGGCTTATGAAATGCCTATATATATTAAAGACATATAAGAACACAAATATTTATGACAAGCAATTACATTCACCATCATCATGGAATAATTGCCTCTATCTGAAAAGAGGACTATATAACGTCATTTTTGGCACAAGGAATAGTAAAATTAGTTTAATCAGAAAGCAAAAATTAGAAATTAATAACGCAAATACAAAGTAATAAAAATTTATAACAATATGACAAATTGACAAAAATATATAATAGTGGGTGAAGATTCCCGTTTTGGTTTTGATAATATACTTTTTTCGTGCGTGAACTGTGCGGATGACAGTAAAGGTAAGTTAATTTGGTGTGCCAATATTTATCCTTTTAGTACTTGAAAAAAAGGAGATTTTGTAGAAATTGATGTGGACGGAATGCGATAATTATAACGAGGATTACAGTCCAAACAAAAGCAATATAATTAATGATACTAGCATGGTGAGAAAGTTTGGTTCATCGGCAGTAGTGCCTAATTCATCCACGGGTATGACTATCGGATCAACTACTATAACCAGAGAGCATGGTTTGGCTATTGCTCGGGAGTTAGATTCTTATGTAGAACAAAGTGGAGGTAGAAATGAATATACAGCCAGTATTGAAGTGCAAGATGAACGAGGCAGACCAATTAAGTTTTCCTTATCCTCTAAAAGAAATAATTATCAATAGTTTAATAATAAAAGTCATCATGAATAAAGAAAATCTAAATAAAAAGATCGAAGAAACCCAAAAGAAATTTGAGAAAATGTTCGGAGGTAATTGCTCTTATCACGAAGAAGATAGTTGAAATGGTGGAAAGAATGGCATTTTCACGATAAAATTTAGGAAAAATATTGAAATCCTAAATGGATTAGAAAGGGCAATAAAAAAAATGCGGGTGAACGCCCAGTCATTTTTGAAAGTGAACTACCCACCACTTATAGAAGTGGGGGCTTCTCGGTTCCTAGACAAGGCTATCACCTAGTCTCCCCGAAGGCTCAAACCGAGCCATTCTTGCCAACTAGCAAGTGTTCGTGAGAACTTTATCTCCATTTATCTCATGGAGTTATTTCATCCTTTGTTTATACTTTTAAGTATATGTTATATTTTAGCAATTCATCCCACCACCTAAAAGAGGATGGGGGACTTCTTGCTAACTTGGGTTAAAGGTAGGGATGGAAAATTAACCAAAGTAAGCAAGGAGGAATTTGCTAAATGAATGGTGAATGAAAAAAATAACGATAATTGGGTTGGAGGAGTTTTCAGTGTAGGGGATAAAGAACAGATTGAAAAGCCCAAAGAAAGTTTGGTTTATGGAGTTAAATGGAATATTGAAGGCACAACTTACTACACCGAAAGAAAAGGCCAAGACGGAGTTTTTAGAGAGGATTATTGAAAATCAAGGAGCGAAGAAGAAAAAAAACAGATTATCGAAAGAAATCGCCAAAAACGAGAAGCAGAAAAATCTCAGTCGGAAGTTTCAACCAATCAGAATAAAGAAGTAGGAGATATAAACCTGAATGAGATAAATCAAAGGACTGCTTCCGACAAAAAAGACCAAACAGATGAAGAAGTTCAACAACAAAATATCGCTCAAAAAACGGATAACAAAGATAACAACAAAAATATTTATTATGGAATAGGAGCAATTTCTCTGGTTCTACTGGTAATAAGTATGGTGGTGGTTTGGGTGAAAAAGCGATAAGGTGAAAAGATAATGTCTTGTTTAAATAAATGAATCTACTCCAAGCCGCAAAAAATCCTCCTTTTGCGGCTGGTGAGTCTAATAATTGAGACTGAAGGTTTGAATTATTAGAAAAAATTTCTTCTAGCATCCGAATATTTGAAAAATTGGCGGGGTAAAATTATATTATAAATGCCCACCAAAATCCAATTTAGTAAGTTTAAATATCGGCTTGTCAAATGCTTAATTT